AGGCACGTGGGTCACACCGCCCGCAGGAGGGACCCCAGCAACAGGCTGCACTGCACCGCACGCACCGTCAGCCACCTGTCTATCAAGTCCAGTGCGTCGCCTGGAGGGGACCCCTGGCCGAGGAGCCTCCACGGTCCGTTTCTCTCCCCAAATCTCAGCCCCTCCTGAGATCTCGGATGACCATGGTTGGGGCTCAGAGCGCAGAGCCTACCCCTCAACACCTTCTCCCCGGGCCAGACCCCAGCAGAGACAGGGAGACAGTGGTGACCGAGGGCCAGTGGGGGGAGGAGGCCAGGACCAGGTGGAGTCTGTCCCGGGCTAGTACCTGGGTCGCAGGACTCCTGGGGCCGCAGGGGCCGCTCCTCGGGGCCACAGCTCATCTGCCTCTTGGCCTTTCCAGCAGCCACGCTGGCTACAGACACCAGGGGGATGGCCTGGCTCTCCTGGGACGTGAGCAAGAAGGGGCTGCCCTGAGTGTCCGGGCGCCCGGTCGGTGTGCACCTTCAGAGTGGGGCAGCCGGCTGGGGGGACTTGAAACAAGTTACGTAAAAGGAGAGCTGGCTCACTCCAGGCGACAGAGACCCAGCTTAAAAAAGGATCAAAATGGCCAGAAACCGTAACTCTCCATCAGATGAAAACAGCGTGGGAGCGGAGGGCTTGGCTTGAGACCAGCACCGGAGAGGGCGAGGCGGGAGAGGCCCCACGCAGGGTGCTGGGCTCGGACCGGGCCCAGGGCTCACAGGGCCAGACGGCCCCCAGGCTTGGGAACAGAGCGGGTCACGCGGGTCCCATCTCCTTCCCGAGGACTCGGGGTGGGAGACGGCGTAGCCCACCTCCCAGCCACCAGCTCACCGCCGGCCGGCCGACAGGAAGAGGGTCAAGGGCGCCCGGGGAAGGAGGAGACAGCCTCCATGACAGCCATCCCTTGGATGTGCCAGGTGACAGGTGCCGGGCTCAGACCCGAGACTCCTCGTGGAGGGCAGGGTACACAGGCCACCGGCAGATGGGTAGTGTGGCCAGGAGAGACCAGCCCGGCCTGGAGAGGAGCGCTCCTCCCAGCCCGGCCCCGCGGCTGCTCCCTCCCTCACCCCGCCCCCCCAGCCACTCACGGGGTTGAAGAGCTCCGTGGTCAGGCCCAGGTAGTTGTGCAGAGCCAGGAAGGTGACCCGCTGCAGCCGCACCATGATGATCTGGGCAACAGGGCCACACGCCGTGAGCCGCGAGCCCGCCGGGGCCTCACGGGCCGGAAACCACCCCCCGTTTTGACAGTCTCCATGGTCGCCTAAGATGTCAGCACCGGGCGTGAGCTCTCGGCGTCACCTTTGTGAGTTTCCTATCCATCTAAAATCGCTTCTAACAGGAACTCAAGGCTAAGGAAGCTCTGGGGCTCTTGCAGGTCGGAGAGCCCCTCGGAGGTCACAGGCGTTGGCTCTTACTGCGGAGCACACGTCACAAGGCTCCCAGCCTCCCTCCCCTGCCTGCACGGACTGGAGCCCGCACGCCCGCGCGCCCGGGAGCACCCACCTGCACCACCCTGACCAGGGTCTCCGGGTACTTCTCAAACACGCCCTGGAAGGCCACGGCGGGGAGCCTGAGCACGGTGGACGGGGCGGCGGCGCGGGG